TTGGTACCATCATTTTCCAAATTAATAGGTAATGATGATCTTACCTGAAGGGGATCATGACTATTCATTCGAGAAGCAGAAAGCAAGCTCAGAAGCACAACTCCACATGTGTTACCACACATTTCTTCATGTGGGTCTGTGTCTGAGGTTAGCAAATGTCAACAGGAAAGGAAACTGCGCCGCTGCAGTGTGTGAGATGTGAGCAGACGTCTGTTCCTCCCAGATAGGGAGCTGATGGCAGACCCAAGCATGGATACCGCTCAAGGCCGACTTGGTGAACCAACGAGTTTCACTGGGGTGACTTACAGGAAGAGAACTGGCTCAAAGACAGCTGCATTCCCGAGACCCACCCCAGCACTGATGACAGCTCACAAAGGCCGGGAACCTGGAGCTTGGTACACAGATGCAGATGGTCCAGCAGGTTGGAGAGTGCCCTTCCCAGGTGCCCTTCCTGGGGGGCTCAGTTGATCTGACCCTCTTCAAGGCAGCCCGCTGGTCGTTTCAGCTTCTTTCAGGCTGCACGGCTCCTCTGAGAGCGACTCTCAGCAGTCCTTCCTATTCACATGCTACTTACATACTTTGGGAAGGGAGGGGCCTAGCCATACTTTTCAGTTTTATGGACTTCCTGAAGCTGCTTTGAGTTGTTTCTTCTTTCTTTCTTCTTTAAACATATGGAGCTATTCACTTATTTCTTTTTCTTTTTCCTATTCTCATACAATATATTGTCATTGTCCCCTCACCCCCCACACACTGTTAAAGGCTGGGCTCACAACCAAAAATGTACGTAAGAATTTCTTCTTTTCTTAACAAGCTTCCCTGTGGAATGGAATGTTCCAGACTTGGAGGAAATTGCTGTACAATACTTGGCAGGTGTACCAGCTGGTTTTGTGTCAACCTGACAACAAGCTAGAGTCATCAGAGAGGAAGGAGCCAGAGAGGAAAAGGCTCCACGAGACCCAGCTGTAAGGCGTTTTCTTGATTAGTGATCAGTGTGGGAGGACTCAGCCCATGGTGGGTGGGGCCATCCCTGGGCTGTTGGTACTGAGTTTTAGAAAAAAGTAGGCTGAGGCAGGCAGTGGTAGCACACACCTTTAATTCCAGCACTTGGGAGGCAGAAGAGGTGTGTCTCTGTGAGTTCAAGGCCAGCCTGGTCTATAGAGTGAGTTCCTGGACAGCCAGGGACACGTACAGACAAACCCGGTCTGGGAGTAAAACAAAGCAAAACAAAGCAGGCAGGCTGAGCAAGCCAGGGGAAACAAGCCAGTAAGGAACATCCCTCCATGGCCTCTACACTAGCTCCTGCCTCCAGGTTCCAGCCCTGTTTGAGTTCCAGTTCTGACTCCAGTAATGGACTATGATCTGGAAGTATAAGCTAAATAAACCCTTTCCTCCCTGACTTGCTTTCTGTCATAGTGTTTTGTCACAGCGATAGAAACGCTGACTAAGACAGCACGTGAGCTGATGCTCTCGGCTTCTTACGCAGAAAGAAACGCTGTAGTTATGTCCTTTACAAGGAGTAGTGAATAAAGGCCCTGCTTACTGGACCACGGGGCACCTACTTGGTTCTCTATTTTTTCTGTCTCACTTCCTTCTAAGGACTTGTCCTTTGACACCTCAACCAGGCAATCACTCAGGGTTTTTTTTTTTTTAAGTACCAGTAATCTGCCCTCCCCACAGCATGTCCGAGTAGCTGACTGCCATAGTTCTCCTGCCAGCCCCACATGCCCAAGCTGCCCCCGACCTCTGTGCAGAGGTAAAGCCCACTATTTCTGTGTTGAAGCTCAGCACTTCATAGCATCCCCCATGAGCCTTGATTAGAGATGGGTGTCCGCATAGGTCAGCCATACTCAGCTGATGCGCTCGGTTTTAAACCCTGCCTGTACTCCTGGCTCCTGTCCTGTTGAGTTACTGTCTATGAGCCCCAGCATTTGGAGTTGAGGCTCCTCTGTGGAGGCTGAGTGTATCATCTTGCTTTCTATGTAACAACTAACCCTGGATGGGGAGCCACCAGTACCTGCTTTGATGTTAACTTGCTTCCCAGGTGAGAAACCTTGGCATTTGGAAGTCTGTTTGCTAGAGAGTCACGGAACATACTCTCAGTAATATTCCAGCCTCACATTTCCTAAAGTGTGAAAAGTTTGACATTACTTAGTGATACTCAGTAGCTTCCAACATAGGATTCACTACATCAAACCTGATGGGATTTCTTTTTGTGTCTCTTGTGACATGGGCAAAAGTCCTTTAAATGTTTTCTGTGTTTAAGGGCCTCCAAAAGACAAGATTAAAAAAAACCCTGCTATTCAATGCTGGTGAGAGGCTCAGCACATAAAATTGCAGCGGGCTGAGATGGTCCTCTGAACCCACTATAAAAACAGGGCATGGTGGCAAGTCCTTGACATCTTAGAGTTGGGGAAGCCTCCAGGTACCTCTCTGGAGCTGGCTGACCAGCCAAAACTTCGCTCAGGTTGGTGGAAGATTCTGACTCAAGGAAACCAAGTGGGAGGCTCTGGAGAAATGACACCCAGGGTTATTTCCTGCTCTACGCACACCCGCACACTCATGCACGTGTACTCGCACACACATACATACACACAGCACATCCCACATACACCACACACACACACACACACACACTCACAAAGTAAAAACCTGTCTTACAGTGAGGTTCACATGCAGATCTTGTCAATACAAAGAGCCTGTGTTGGATTCAGGAGAGGGAAAATCTCTTCCAGAACTTTCTGCAGAGCCTTTCTGGGGACACAGTGCTTTCCATTTTTTTCCTGCCGCCAAATTTCTGTCTGATATCTGGTGACCACAGGGCTTCTCAGGGCTTGGTTAACAGACAAATATGGAAGTGACTTCTTAGGTTCTTTCCAGCTTAATCACCCAAGAACGTTATGATTTATTTGTCAGGCTAAAAATATAATTCTCAGAATAGGAGTCCCAAGTACATAACTTTATTATGGTCTCCCCTTCTTGATAACTGCACTTAACATCTAATTTCGTTCTAATAACATGTTATTGTCATTTGGTGGTCTAAGGCACACACCAGCAGAGGGTCTGCCAAGACTGAAGCGCTCTCGACAGGCTTCTGGGCCGCCTTCCCTGCAGCACCTCATGTAATTGGGTTTATTTTTAATTTGACAGCCGCCTCTGTTGAGCATCCGTATTTTTTTATTATATCCTTATTCATTGAAATTTCTTCCTTATGCCCATAAGGCATATTCCTACCTGATTACTGTATGAAGGAAAACTAAATGCGAAGACAGATGGCCTGTGCCAACACCCCCCCCCCCCCCGGCTGTGCTAGTTCTCATAATTGGGACTGTCTCATGGATTCCTTTTACAATTTAAGTGTTCCTTGCTGCTTGGTACAAATATTATTTTTCTGGGTCTGAAATTCCCCTGTGTCTTACCTACTGAAGTCCATCCAGTCAGTTTTGCAGACAGTAAGACAATAATCCAGATGAAAGTCAATTACAGAAGGGTTTGTGGGGAGGTATCAACTTGTCTCGCCAGAGTCAGGAGTGATTTAATATCCCTGCTTTCCTGACTGCTTGGGTCATTAATGTCTTTACTTCAGGGCCCTTGGCACTGTTGGTCTCTCCTCATCCTGAGGAACATGGCAGGGCCCTTGGCTACTTATGAGTGTTCCTGATCTCTGGAAAAGGTAAAGAAGGGAGACCAAGGGCTGATACCCACGGTCGTCCTCCTGGCTCATTGCTTCTCCTCTCTGCTCCTTCACTCTACGTATTCTTTTAGTAAGGTTTTACTAAGAATGTGTTTCCTATGATGGCCATCTGTCACTACCGCCTGGGGAACCTGATGATAGAGGAGAAGTAGAGATGTTCATATTTATGCACAGATCATTTTACTAAAAATATTGAGCTCTGCAGGACTTGGTAGCATCAGCTGTAAGGCTAGCATCCAGGAGACGCAGGCAAGATGTTTGAGACCATCACGGGCTACTTGGTGAGTTTCAGGCCAGGCTGAACTACACTATGAGACCTTATCTCAAAAACCCCTTCTCTGGAAAAAAATGGGGGGGGTGAGGTTAATATCCAAGGGCTCTGAACTTTGGAGAGGTCAAAGTAGCAACATGAACTTGCTAGAACCCATTTCTTCCTGGCAGGCCCCTGGGTTACTGGGTTTGCTGTGGGGGAATCAAGTGTTTCCATATTCTTGACATCTTGCTCAGAGACTTGGTGACACGCACAGAGATTGTAAAGTGACAAGGACACTTTATTCATAAGCAAACTAAAGGACGGTCCAGGCAGTCTGCAAGAGAGCAGTAGGCTGCTTGTGCAGAGAGCTCAAAGACGGGTAACCAACCTGGGGTGCCTATCCTGGAGCCAGGAAGAGGAGGAGTTGGTCGCCAAGCCTTGTCGTGAAGGTGGTCATTTTCTTGAGATCTCTTCAAGGGATGCCACCCATTTTCCAGTTTCTCCCATGTCCTACCCTGCTGAGGACGCTTTCGGCAGCTGTGCACTCTGCTTCCCTCTGGGTCTGCCACAGCTCTCTGCAAAGGTTCTAGTTCGCTCCTAGCTGAGGAGCTTTTAGCAGTGGAGGCCATGGTCTCCACAGGAGCAATGTCTGTGGTGTGAAGGATGGCACCTGAAGAGAACCACATCTTCCTCCGACCCCTCTTCAAGGCCGAGAAACTGACTAGAACCCTGATGCTGTGTAGAGGCTATGGCGTCACAAGTGAGAGTCGGGTTATTTCATGCCATCTCCCATTTCCTTGGTAGCCACTTATGGCCCTCCTCTGTGTTACATGGTGTCTTTGCCACCACGGTGTAAGTCCCTGTAAGTCCCTTGGAGTGTAGGAAGAGACCACTTGTTTCCAGCCAACCAGAGGACCAAGAACGCTGTTGGCTTCTGGGGCTTCTAGCAGAGTTTCCTCCCACTTCACTGTCACGGGATTTTCTGATGTTTCCACGAATGCATTTGAAAAGTGTTTTGACTTACGGCTTTGCTCTGTTACTATGAACTTTTTACCAGTGCCTACCTGTCAGGGGAGATACCATGGTCAAGAAGATGTTACCCCCCTCCCCAGGATGAGGCTCATCTGTCACACTTGAGATCTGCTGACCCCTGTGCTTTACCCTAATGCAGGAAAGTTGTCTGCATAATTTGTGGCAGTAGGGAATTGTATTTGTACTCTTCCCTGAACACAAAAATAAAAAATAGCTAAAAGCCTTGTCAGGCTGTTACCACATGGAGACAAGGAATTCGGGGTGACTTGAATCAGTGTTTCCAGGCTGCGGTCTTTAGCTCCAGAATAAGCTCTCTTTCTGGGTGAGGGTTGTGCTTTTGCATTGACATCAGAGATAGAAAGGAAAAGGTTCAGTGGCTAGGACAGGCCTCTTCATGATGGCTGTGCATTGAGAAGCTGGGGGGAGGGATGGGAGAGAAACCCACAGTGTTCCAGGGACCAGTCTATCTCACTGCAAGCAATATGCATGGAGGATGTTGGCAATCAGACAATTTCTAAATGACTATGCTGGCTGCTATAGAGAATAAACACAGGGCAAGTAGAAACTGTCTTTTGGGTGAATGATGGATGATTGGCAGCGAGGTTGGTGGAGCTGATGTGAGTGTTACCAAAGGCTGTGACTTGTAGTAGAAACCTTGGACCTCACTGGGGGAGGAGAGGAAAGGGAGCTGCAGTTGCCACAATCGGTCCATCCTCGCTGCTGAGGTTGGAAGTGACTGTAGGGTGGAGGCTGCGGAGCCATGAGAGCTGCTGCCTGCGCATGTTAAACCTGTAGGTGGCACCAGACGTGCAAGGGGACAGCCGAAATATGCAAGCATCTGGTCCTACAAGAAAACGGGACCAGCGAGGCAACCGTGGGCATCATTGACGCCAAATAAAGGAACATTTAAAGCCACAGGTCACCTAAGTCAAGCGCTGGGATTCTGTAGTGAGGAGGATAGAGAACACAGGAGGCCCACGCTACACTGTGTGACATCATGAGGTCAGAGTTTCAGAAAGAAAGCTGTGGCAAGGCCGAGGCCGAGAAATGGCTGTTGGGATCCAAAGCTCAGATATCAGAAATTGGCATTCAATACAAGGGGCATTCCCAATGCTATGCTAAACTCATACATCAAAAATTGAAAACTACAGCCTTGGGCCTAATTGCTAAACATTAATCTCTACCCATGGAACTAAGGGTCTATCTATCTATCTATCTATCTATCTATCTATCTATCTATCTATCTATC